CTGCCGACAAAAACTGTATGCCACATTTGTGCGCTTATGTTCCAAGTTTAGTGCAAATCAAACAACTTGTAGGAGGCAAAAGGAAACGAAAAACCATTTTAGAAAAGCGTTGATATGATCAAAATATGTTGAGACTTGCCGCATCTGAGAAGAAGGATAAAATGAGAAAACGGATCTACAGAGGAAAGTAGAGAAGAAGAGAGTGCTCAGATTTCACGTGATTTTTCCTAGTGTTTTTTTTTCCCTTCTCCCTGAACTTATTATGCAAAACAACATCCTATAAATGTAATGGTTATGGAAAAATAAAGAAAGTACAAATATATAAGGCCTAAAAAGAGCATATCATCATCTTCACTAAACATTGAATAAAATTTTAATTTTATTAACCCAAAATTCATAGTTTCATGTCACTAAAAATAATTATGATGCGTTAATATTAGGATTCTGACGATTGCTTTTTTTCATATGACCACCGGTCCACCACAAGAAATGAAGGTAGCAAAAACTTTATATACAAAGAAGAAGAAAAAATAAATATTACATTGGTGGATATAAACTAACTAAACTTGGAACATAACTAAAGAGAAACGGTAGAGAAAAATAAGATTTGTCTATATCACAATCTAATTTTCTGCATCCATGCTTTTCAACAATATATATCATGTTCTTGTACTTCTCCTCGCTTCTGCCACAACCCACAATAATCACTTTCTTGTCTTCTTCAATGAAGAAACTCACAGAACCCGCAAAACCAAGATCACGCAGAGAAACAAAATCAAATGTAAGGGATTTGCTCCACGACAACACGGTTCCAATATCAATCTTATCACTCACCCATATCTCCATCCGTGGCATATCATCAATCGAACGTAACACCAAAAGTTGTTCTTCTTTAACAACTGATAGAGACAAAGTATATAAAACATGATACCCATACAGAAACGGAAGAGGCACACGTCTAAATGTCTCTGTTGTGAAATCAAAACTCAACATATCGAAATAAAAATAGCAAAACCAGTAGGTATTTCCTTTCAAAGACTCACCTCTTTCATACATACGTAGATCCAGATCCATGTTGGGAGGGACTTGAGGAAGAACCCTCCATGAATTAGACTTTAGCTCAAAGATTTCCAAGAGATTGCAACCATACGAAATCCTCAAGATTTTGTAGCTATCATACGATTTCTTGTTGTTGTTTTCGTAACCTAGAGTACATATCATATATATTGCAATCACTTCTTGGTTCGATCCACCTGGTTTGACCAGTACACGGATTCACAACAACGAGTTTAGTCTTGTCGGCCTCTTCCGTGGAACATAACAATAAGTCATTGCAATGAAAGACTTGCCTTATTTCGGCGTGTTGGCTAAGTTTAGCAGTAAACTCTATAGATGGATAAACATCAATGTTGTTATGAATTTCTTTGAGATTGATACTCATCGAGTAAACCCTAAAAATACTCAACATGAGAACCAAATCCTGCTTTGCTGCTTTATCCAATTGCTTTGTGATGAATTTCGAATCTTTGAGTAAAGCATTCCATCGTTTGCATGTAAATCGTAGTCGGCCTAGAGATGTTGCCGGAAGTCGAGAGAGTATTTCATCTACCAAATCCCATGGAAGATCCATTCTCACCATTGTTTTTACTTGATCTAAAGGAAATCAGATATTTGGTTTATAAGCTTTCTCATTTGCCCTTTCTTATATAGGGACAAAGAGGTTAAATGAAAAAAACTTCTTAAGAAATAAGTTTAGATAATATTATTACGGTCTTCTTTTTCTTTCAAAAATTATATCTTTTCCCTACTAGGTTTTCTATTTTAAAACTAACTAATTTATTATTTAATTATTATTTATAACAGTTTATATTTTTATCTTATTATTTATAGCTTGGTTTCAAAGTTAGTAATTCGCATGATCGAGACACATGTTAAGTCTATCAATCAGATTTCGACAAGTATAAAAAGAAAAATTATATAAATAAAAAGAAAATTATATAGTAAATTACAAATAGTAAAAGTAAAAGGATTAGATTTGTTTTTTTTTTTTTGGAAATAATCTATAAAAATTTAATAAAAAGGAAATTATACACTAAATTACAGTTTTTCCAAAGATATGTAAAGAAAATATTAAAAAAATATAGTAAATTACTAATTTTAAAAAGAAAAGAATAACAAATATTATTTTCTTAAAATACATTAAAAGAAAATTATAAAATCTTATTAGATAAGCTAGATATTTCAAACTTAGCTATTTACATGATCGCGATATGTGTCCATCAATTGATGAGATTTTGACAAGTGTAAAAAACATCTTAAGATCAGAATTTGACATATGCTAATGAAAATTACAAATCCTTAACTTAAAAAAATAAAAACAAAACGTATATACTTAACTATACAATTAAAAAGGATATACTTCAATTTAAACAAGAAAATTTAATAAAAAGGAAAATTTATTAAAAAGAGAAAATATTATTATGTAAACCTTGATTTTTCAAAATTAGTAATTAACACAATTGTAATATGTGTCAATTAGTCTCGATCATATTGTTGGTCAGAAATACCTATGTTTTCTTGTAGTGATATATATATATATATATTTTAGTTTAATTTTAGTTTTTTTTTGTCGTCTTATTACATCATCATTATCATTAGAGATATTTAACCTAGTCTTATTATGATGATATTCTACTACTTGCAGCATATGTGATTTTGATGAACAGCTCCCATGAACAATGATTCCATGGTGCATCATTCCTAGCAATACTCGGATCTTCAACGGTCGGTTATGCATGTACGACATCCCCGCGATGGACATGCTCTCCATGCAACACTCATACCACTACGAACGGCTCTACATGAGGCTTTTTGGACCTTCGATAAGTTTTACACCATTAATCTGCAAAAAATTGTGTTCTTTGGGACTCAAACCCGGGCCTGGTGTAGAAGTATTAAAAAACCTTTAGTCATCCACTGGAACAAAGGGACTTTGACAATTTTAGTTTTTTTAAAATTTATTTATATTGATTTCTACTTGAGTTTTGAATTATTTTTATTTATCGTATATCTTCGTGCTTAGAATTAATATAGATTTTTTTTTTTATCAAAATTTCTAAACATTACTCATATAACTAAAGTAAAACTAGAAAAAGATTTGGTACTTGTGAATGTTTTGTTTATAAACATTAAAATTTATGACTTTGGTTAAGTTTTTATTACTAAGTTCGATCAAATCAGTGTAAAAACATTTAACTAAACATGTAAACAAATTTTAAATGTGAAATTTTGAAAAACAAAAATCGAAAGATGGTAAATAGTCTCAACTCAGTCGCTAATTCAGGTGTTAGTCGCAAAACACCGACTAATTAGGGACTAAAATAAAAATGGTCGAACAAAGTAGTAGTATTTTAATTATAGTTGCAAAACGGTGGCAGGTTTGCGACTGTTTTGTGACCACGTTTAAAATGTATGAATTTTTTTTTGTCTAGAATCAAACCGTAGTTCTCTGAGACATATGCGAAGTATGTTACCAAATTACTAGTGTACTCAATCTAAAATTTGTCATATATAAAAGTAAATAAATTGAGACAATATTTACAATTTTCTTTTTTTTTATAAAACACATGACACTATTACAAAACACATATTTAGACTCATTGTTTTTTAATGATTCAAATTATTCTTCTTCAAATTCTGTATCTCTAAAGATCTTATAAAATTTGGCTGTTAAATCGTCGCTCTTTTGTGACTAAATGGCGACCATAGTTTCTAACTAAATATCGCGTCGCATATTAGTCGCAGATCTGCGATTCGTTTGCGACCAAAACATATTAGTCTTTAATCTGTCACATAACAGTCGCTAATTTACGACTGTTCACCGACTTATTTGTTTCGTCGCTTAAATGTGACTGTTTACTCTCCATTTTTTAATTAGTTGGTAAAACGTCGGAAATAAGTCAAGAATTAGTCACAATGTTTTGCGACTAAATAATTGGTCGCAAAATTTAGATGCAATACGCAAGTTTTCTTGTATCGCGCGTGTAGTTCTAAGAAGTGCATATCTCGCCATGTTAACAACACATCTCTCACTATAACAAAAACAAATGAGAAAATATCTTACTACTATTGACATAAATTGATTGGTTATTAACAAACCGCAAAGTCAAAGTTTGTTTCAAAGATTACAAAGAAGGGATACCTATAGATGAACGGTATTTTTGGGCCTTTGCATTTGTCGACAACCAATGAATTTGTCGGGACTAAACAATCTCCTACCTAGAAAGCTAGCAAGGAAAAATATTCAATGATCCAAGAAGATACTTAATTGAGGAGTCATGCAAGTTCAAATCCTGTCATCCCTACCTATTATTGCTCGTATCTATTTTGATCGGTTTTTTTTTTTAATCGGACATACATTTAATTCTGAAATTTATGATATATAATGTATGATATAGTATATACGTACAAAATCAAGTCGGGTTAAAGATCTTTCTAGCTAGCCTTTTTTTTTAAAAAAAAAAATGCTCTTAGTTCAGTTCGGTGGTGAAAGAGGGTTTCATCCATGTACTTAATCCTCAATTTCTTTGATGCTACATTGAAACCACATCCATGCTATCGAGTAACATAGAGTATATCTTTAAGTTCGAGCTCTCTCCAAGAACAAAAATATAGCGAATTTCCCGTGTCTTAAACCTTTGCGATGATGGTCTTAGACTTCAGTTGTTGAATCAGTCCATGTTTATGTAGTAACGTCACTTCTTCCACCATTAAATCATTGGCCTCTTTGATGTTTCTACATGAAAGGATTCGAGTAAAAAAAAAAATTCCAAAAAACAAGAAGAGTTGTGAAACGTTTCGCAAAATAAGTTAACATCATAAGCTAACGTGCGCCCAATTTAACGTCATAAGCTAACGTGCGCCAAATTTAACGTCGTAAGCTAACGTGCACCAAATTCTCTCCGTGTTCATCCAATTTCACCGATCCACACCAATTCTCCGAAAACCTTAAACCAGAATCAAAATTCACCTTTGGAAAAGTCTGATCTGAAACAATGGCCGTGAGAGCAACGGTGTCGCGTTTTCCGATCGATGCAGACGCTCAAGAGGCGTCAGGACTTCCTTGGGGACTAACAGTAACACCATTCGCGGCTAAAGACGAGAACGAAATCGGACCAGCATACGGATCTAACGGTCATCTTCTTCCTCGTTGCGAAAACTGCTACGCTTACTTCAATACCTACTGTGAGCTTGATCAATGGGCTTGGAATTGCTCGCTTTGTGGAACTCTCAATGGACTTCCTTCTGATGCTATTGCTCGTTACTCTAATCCTCAGTCTATACCTGAAATGACTTCTTCCTTCATTGATCTTGAGATGCCTCGTATGTATTATGTCATCTCTGTACTGATTCTTGTGGTTTTTGGTGGAATTGGTTCTGATTTCTGCTTAATTGTTTGTTTTTCTAGTGGATGGATCGGAGGAAGAGATGACACAAGCACGGCCTGTGTATGTTGCGGCGATTGATATCTCGTGTAAGGCTTCTTTCGTCACTCTTATGTTCAATTTTATTGTTGGTTAGTGTTGATTGTACTTGAATTGTGTGTTAGTGAACTTTGGGACTGTGAATTTTGAAAGCAATGTGTGTGTCATTTTGCTATGGATTATGATTATAGCTTGGTTTTGTATCTTTTTTTTTGTTTCTTATCGAGTTTTGGCTGTGATTTTGTCATGATTTTGGAGATAGGCTATGGTGGGAATACATTTGCTTTGAATTGTTCTGTAAAGTGAATTTCGTGATCATTCTGCTGGTTATCATTAAGTTTTGTTTGAATGATCTTCCAATATAATGTGTTTCACTTCTTTGAATATCATCTTCTTGTTCATCATGGTCAGTGTAAATTGTAGTTGATTCGCGTGTTGATAATCTTTGCATTGTAATTCTCAGAAGCAATGTGTGTGTCATTTGATGTAGATTGTGATTCTAGCTTGGGTTTGTATGTTTTTTTTCTGTTGTTCTTATCGAGTTTTCGCTTCGTTTTGTATGTAATTTGATCTAGATTGTGATTCTAGCTTGGGTTTGTATGTTTTCCTGTTGTTCATGTTGTGATTTTGCCATGCTTTGGCAGAGTATGGTAGCAGTAAATTTACTTTGAATTGTTCTAGACAGTGAACTGGTTTTCATCAAGTTTCTGTTTGAATGGGTCTTCCAATATAATGTGTTGTACGTGAACGTCTCTTATTCTAGTAAATATCATTTTGATCCGCTAGAACAATCCACATGTTATTGCTTTCTTAAGATCATACTACTCATTTTCTTCAGATTTCCTATGTTTCTGTCGGATATGCATATCAGTTCCATCTTCTTTCAAATGTTGCATTTTTGTGTTGCTCATAATTTTTTTTTCAATCTGCAGCTTCCGAGGAATTTTTGGAACTTACAAAAAGTGCATTGCTAGCCGCTCTGGAAGGTCATTTCAAATTCATACAAAATTTTACAGCAAGGATGTGCTTTTTCTTCTGCGTAACTGTGTTCTGAGGGTATATTTTTCTCTCGTTTTTTCTATTTTGCAGCTCTAAGTCCAGGGGCTCTTTTTGGTCTTGTTACGTTCAGCCACAAAATAGGACTGTATGATGTTCAAGGACCTATTCCAGTTGTAAAGAATGTATTCATTCCCCCTGATGGGGAGAGCAGCTTATCGCTAGAACTTGAGGATGTCATGCCCTTGTTACAATTTTTGGCTCCGGTATGGTCATTTTTTAACATTTCGTTTCATATTTCCTACTTTCTTGGTCAATCATGGTGATTGTTGGATCACATAGCTAGGAACACCTGTAGACAGACAAAGTTCCCTTTCTATACTTCCTACAGGTAGAAACTTGCAAGGATCGTATTGCTGCAGCTCTTGAGACACTCAGACCAATAACTTCTTGGGAGAGATCAGCTGGAGCAGCTCAAGGGATGGATAGTGTATTGATGGGTGGTAGGGGCTTTGGTACAGCTATGGAAGCTCTATTCAACTATCTAGGATCTGAATTTGGGAATACATTTGCATTAGGTATGTGAAAATTTGTAGCATGTCTATACTCTATATGTTTCAACACAGTCTAGTTTCTTTCCTCATCAGGTTGTTTTGCATTGGGCAGTGTTTTACTGACTTGATATAAGTGCAGCTAGGGTGTTTGCTTTCCTATCTGGTCCTCCTGATTATGGACGTGGACAACTGGATACAAGTAGATATGGTGAACAATATGCAAGTAAAAGGGTAGATGCTGATCGTGCTCTGCTTCCTGAACAAACACCATTCTACAAAGACCTAGTAAGTCTTATTTCAAGATTTTCTATCTCCAAGATGGATATATACTTTGAGCTAAGATCTAATGGCTCTTTTATAGGCCACCATTGCTGTCCAATCTGGTGTATGTGTAGATTTATTCGCAGTTACAAATGAGTACACAGATTTAGCATCCCTGAAGTTCCTTAGCATCGAAAGTGGTGGCTCGCTGTTTTTGTATTCAAGCACCGATGATTCAACTCTTCCCCAAGACATGTTAGTTCTGATGCTTGGCATTAATTTTCCACTCCAATAGAAAGAAAGCATGCTGTGTTTTCTTTATTTGTACCAAATTAACTAAAACAAAATTGCATGATCTTCTTTTGTAGGTTTCGAATGCTTAACCGGCCGTATGCATTCAATTGTGTCTTGCGATTGAGGACATCAACTGAATTCAAACCTGGCAACTCTGTATGTGGTTTTAGTGAGAAACGAAAGTTCAGATAATGATTTTTTTTTGCTTCAGCTAACAGTTTGGCCTTATTTGCAGTTTGGTCACTTCTTTCCAGATCCACAGTACGAGAACCTTCAGCATATCATCTGCTGTGATTCATATGCAACATATGCATATGACTTTGATTTTGCAGATAATTCTGGATTTTCCAGGTAAACTTAACAATAATTGCCTTTTTCCTATATTTATGATTTGGTCGAAGGGACAAAATAATGCTGATTGATTCCATGCAATTGTAAAGCTGCTAGTCATTGATTTTGTACTTACTTTGACTCTCCGTTTATCTGTAACTAGTCATTGCCATGCTTTCCCTGACCTGCAATAAAGTATTGCTTTAAAAAAAATTATTGAACTGAGATGCTTGGCACTTAAAGATGCTTACTTTATTGTGCTCTTTTCCAGGCATTCTGGAGAGCAACCAGTGGTGCAAATTGCATTTCAGTACACAGTTGTTGTACCTCCCGAGGGACTGTCAAATTCAGAAATGTCATCTTCAAGTAGGTAAGATTAATCCATGCTAAAGGTGTTGATTGATCATTGTAATCATATTTATATGGGGCTATGCTTTTTTTTGTAATTTTTTATCATTCGAACATTCATAGTGTTTTGTATCCTAGAAATGAATTTCATACCTCGTAAACAAACTGTCAATGCCAGAGCCTAGAGTTGATAGTAAACCTCAAACTTCCCTTACATTAATGACCTTGTACTCGGTCAATCCCAGAGCCCAGAATTGCCTTTCATGGTAATCACTACTATGGATCTTGTAGTGTTTCAATCTCGGTTTGATTTATTTTGTGTTACACAGAGGCAAACACACACTTCAGAGACGATTAAGGATCAGAACCATGCAATTTGGAACTGCCCACAACATCAATGAAATTTACGACAGTGTGGATCATGAAGTAGTTCTCTCATTGCTCGTTCACAAGGTAAAAGTCACTTCTCGTTTTTATCTCGGCTCCTGCAAAAGAAATGAATCCATTACTAATCTGCTAACTATGTTTGTATTTTCGTAATTATTTCTCTTCAGGTAATTTTAGCTTCTCTGGAAGATGGAGTCCGTGAAGGGAGGGCATTACTTCACGATTGGCTAGTAATTCTAACAGCACAATACAACGATGCCTTCAATCTCGTTCAATACAAAAACGGAAACAAGTCGATGAGTTCTCAGATTGATATCACTTTTTCACAATGTCCTCAACTTGAGCCTTTGCCTCGTTTAGTCTTTGCCTTACTCCGTAATCCCCTTCTCCGGTTTCATGAAGAAGGTGTTCATCCTGATTACAGAATCTACTTGCAATGCCTTTTCAGGTAACCATCCCAATGAACTACTAATAGCCAACCTAATGAGTCATCGTGAACAATATTGCATATTTAGTGTAATATAAGATAGTGGATTTATTTGGAAACAAAAACCTTGGTATCGCAACCACAATCAAGGCTTGTCTCTAAATTTCCCGTTTGTGTTATTTTTTTCCTTAAAATTGCAGTGTGTTGGACCCGAGCTCTCTTCATTGCGGGATTTACCCAGCACTAATGTCATATTCAACACCAGATACACTTGCATATCCGCGTCATTCATTGAGCCGCGCGGCTTTGATTACAAGTGGTAGTCCGATATTTTTCCTAGATGCATATACCACTTTGATAGTCTTCTACTCATCAACAGCAGACCCGTCGATACCTTTCCCTCCACCTCAAGACTGTAAGTTTGCTCGTCAAATGAAATCCAGTTCAACCACATTTAGATCTGTTAGATTATGTTGATTCGAAAACTTTATCTTACAGGTTTATTGAGGCAGACCATAAATAAGGTGAAGCAAGAAAGGAGCATCACACCAAAACTGATGTTTATCCGAGGAGGACGAGACGATGCTACTGTCTTTGAGAACTATCTTATAGAAGAACAAGATGTGGACGGTATTGGTTTTGCTAGCGCCATGGGTTTCGTGTCTTTCCTCGATGATATTTCGCAGCGTGTCACTGAATACATGAAGTGAAAGCCAAATGACCCTTTAGTGAAAGCCAAATACATCCAAACTCAAAAATTTCAACTGTGTCAAAACTTTTCCCATTTAAGAGTTTTGCTCTTCTTGTTGTAACATTTGCTTAGACTAGCATCCCAACTTTTTTGCTCTCTTAATCAGAATGAATAATAAGCCAAAATTTGCTCTTCACTCTTTTGTTGAAAAATTTAATTTTCTAAACTTTGACTTACATATCTGTTAACACTAGAGCCAAAGAGCAAAACAATTTGATGAGTCTACGACATGCTCATGGCCACAATCACTGCTTCAAGCTTACAAGCTAATCCAACGTTAACCTGAAAACATGTTCTTAGCAAAAAGTATAACCTTGAGTTCATTCATCTTCTTCATCACCCTCTACCTCTTCACCACTTCCACTTCCACTTCCACTTCCGCTTCCGCTTCCGCTCCCGTCCTCGTTCTCATTATCTTCACCATCCCCACTCCCATTTTCTTCCATGCTATGGTCCTCATTCCCACTCTCCTCACTCTCATTCCCATTCTCTTCCATGCTGTTTCCCTCATCCTCCTTCTCGTTCTCCTCGTCATTCCCATTCTCTTCCGTATTTTCATCGTCATTCTCATCCTCCTCATCGTTTCCATTCTCTTCTTCTGTGTTGTCATTCTCATTCTCCTCATCATTCTTGTTAGTTTCCTCATCTATTTTGCTTTTCCTCGCTCCCTTTTGTGTTGATGGCCCTTCCTGTTTCCTCTTCTTCGTCTCTTTGGGCTTCGAAGCTGTTGCACCAGCAGATTTTGAAGCAGCTCCACCAGCAGGCTTTGAAGCTGCTCCACCACCCGCTTTTTTCCCCGCAATCTTCTTCTTAAAATCTGAAAATCAGTCATGTAGATTACATTAGGTCAGTGTCCAAACTTAACCCACTTACAAGACATAAATCACAACCTAAGCATTTCTACCAACACTCCATGAAACTAACAACATATAAGCAGAATCTGATCTTCATCAGAACAAACCAACTTACCTTCAAGAGAAGCTTTAAGCGGCTCCAAAAATTCTGAAAAATCCATTTCTTCTAATGCCTTAAACACATCATCAGCCTTCATAGTTTGTCTTCTAGCATCTTTACAAAAATCATTTGCCCTATATCATTCACCCCCAAAATCAAACTAAATTCATCAATTCAATAGATCACAAACAGTAAAATTCATCAATTGAATCACATTAACAATAACCCAAACATGGAACATTCCAAATCATTCACTATCACAGTGAAGAAATTCGAAAAAAAGTTAGGGTTTGTACGTGGAGGAGAGGTAGTGGATGAAGATCCTCGCACTCTCTGAGAATGCAAGCAACGCTTCCTTGTGTATACTGACGTCATAATCCGGCGAACACTCCGACAGCTTATCCTTCACCACTCGGCGCACAATAGCCAGCGGCAGCTCGTCCACCACCACTTTCTCCGACTCCATTCTTCTCTTCTCTCTCTCTCTCTCGCCGTCTTTCCCGCCTAATAAGCTGCTCGGCCCATTAATAATAAAAGCCCATATTCAAATTAAAGAGCTATCACCACGCGCTAAATCTTACCCGTTGGATTAATTTAACTAAATCCTCACCGTCTAATATCTCGGCCCATTAATATGAAAAGCCCATATTCAAATTGATTAGCACTACTAATAAGAGTTATGAGCACGCTCTCACTCAATCTCACCATTGGATTAACTTGATTAAATCGTCACCGTCCAATCATAATACTAATAAATTCGATCAAATCACGAATCAGAATCAGTCGTCTTCAACCTCTGGAATTTGAGAGAAAGCAATAACCAGATTCTCCGAATTCGAGCCAGTTCTAAGAATTTCATTGTCTGATTAATGGCTTCCTCAAACGCCTACGCGCCGTCGGCGCCGGAGTTGCCAGAATCGTTCGGGCAGCATCAGTATGATGGCGAAAATAGATACAGTTACGCGTATCCATTATATCAACCAACTCAGCAATTAAGCTCCTCCTCCGGGATGTTTTCACCGGAAACGCATCCGCAGATTGTGAGGAGCTTTGAGTCGGCGGATAGAGATCGGAGCGGATTTCTCGAAGAGTCGGAGCTCCGGCAAGCGTTGTCGTTATCTGGTTACGAAGGAATTAGTAACAGAACGATTAGGTTTCTGCTGTTTATTTACAAGAGTCCTGGAGATTCTCTGCTTCGGCTTGGTAAATTCACTTATTTGTGGTTTTGAAATTGGTTTTGAATTTCATTTTATAGAACAGAATGCAAATAAGTGAAATTCAATTTCAATCACTCTTTATAAACATTGAACTGATTCGATTTTAGTCCGGTCCAGAGCGTACTGACCAACCATTCAAGGCCTTAGTTTCTTTTGATTCTGCTGCGTTTAGATTAGTATGAGTTATGATGTTCCATTTATGTAGGTCCTAAGGAGTATGTTGAGTTGTGGAATTGCCTTGCACAATGGCGTGTAAGTGAATACTTAAGTGTCTAAGACTCTTTGATCGATCAATCTAGTGAGTATTGTTGTGTGTTGTAGGCAATATTTGACAGGTACGATAGAGATAGGACCGGAAAGATCAATGCTACCGAGCTCAGAGACGCTTTCTTTCATCTGGGATACATGCTTCCAACCTCGGTTCTTCAGCTTATCATATCTCAGTTTGATGATGGGACTGGCAAAACTGTTGACCTCTGTTTCGATAGTTTCCTTGAGTAAGTTTTATTCTGTGTGTCTTCATCGATTATGTAGTTCTTGATTCGGTTTCTAAATATCATTTTTGTGGTGGATTTGCAGATGTGGGATGATTGTTAAGGTATGAACTATGATCTTTTAACCTAGAGAATTTTGAAATGCATTTCCATGAATCTAAACCACTTGAAATCGTGTAAAACATGTGTCATATGCTTATTATCAGGGATTGACTGAGAAGTTCAAAGAGAATGACCCTGGTTACACAGGCTACGCAACGCTCTCTTACGATGTTTTCATGTTGATGGTCATTCCGTTCATCGTCTCCTATGATTAATGGTCACTTGCTAGTTGCTGCTTCTTTCTTTTTCTCAATCTCAGCTTCAAGATGTACATGGATAATAGATGTCTGATTACTGAATAGGAGAGTGAAATCAAAGTAGTGAATAGTGTAAGTTAATGCTGGAGGTTTGGTCTTATCGATTGTTCTTACTCAAATGAGGTTTGGTCTTTCTTCTCATCTAAGGCTCATGTCTCTCCTCCAACTCTTTTAGAGCATGAACTTAGATGGATCAAAGACCCTTGCCGCAACAAGAATATCGCTCTGATTCTCAAACTCTCCTTTCAGGCTTCTATTTATTTGACATGGAAGGAGAGAAATTGTAGGCTGCACTCTCAGGTTGCTCGCCCAGCGTCTGCTGTGATTTTGGACATCAAGAATACTATCAGGAGTAGATTAGATCCGCTAACTAGGGCTCAAAAGCCTCATCCTTCCTCTGTTTCTTATATGTCAACTTGGTTTGAAGTCTTTCAATCTTAGCATCCCTCCTTTGGTAGGTAAGTAGGTAAGGATGTCTTTTGTCGTTCTCAGTTTCTGTAATTGTCTCTTTGTAACCGTGTTCTTATTTCAATGGAAAAGTTCAATTTAAAAAAAAAAAAAAAAAAAAAAAAAAAAAAAAAAAAAAAAAAAAAGTTAATGCTGGAGAGAGCGAGAGAATAATAAGAAGTTTTTAACAAGAAGTTTTTTTAACAGTAACAGAAGTGATGACTTTGCAGTTTGCACCATGGAAAAATCAGAAAAAAAATCAAATTGTTAAGAGCCAATTTTGAGCTGTTTGCAAACAGATAATCCTAAAATCACCGAACCAATGACCGAGAAGGCTCCTTGCCTTGAACGCCAAAACTCGATCCACGTCAAGGGTTTTCTAATTTCAGACAAAACATTCTCGAACTGTTGGTGGAGGTCATCGAGAGAGCCATTATTATCGATCACAACATCAGCTTTGCTTCTTTTCGAATCCAACGGCATCTGAGCCATCACTCTATTTCTTGCATCTTCCTCACTCAATCCATCTCTCTCCATCAGTCTCTTAAGCTGTGTTTCTTGACTAACCCACACAACCACAATAGGTTTAGTCCATCTATCCATCTTCACTTCGAACAACAAAGGGATATCGACAACTATCACTTTAGCACCACTCGCCCATTGTTTCAGAATTTCCCAAAAGATACCACTTGATATGTATGGAGCCATCAGTCTATAGAGAGAAAGACACAACACCAATTTCAGGATCTCATACTATAGACAATAAAGGGAATTCTCAATTCCTTACTTGTTTAGAAGTTGGCGCTTACAATCAGACGAAAACACAATCTGACCGAGTTTTGGCCGATCCACTTCTCTACTAGGAAGCAGAATCTCCTCACCAAAAGCTGCAACTACTCTTTTCCATCCACCACTTCCTTTCTTCAATACATCCTATATAGCAAAACAACACATTTCCAAACCATTTACTAAACTTCTCTTAAGCTAAATTTCATCTAGGAGGACCTCTCTCTTTGCAATGATCACACAAATAGAAAAGAGAGATGTTTGTTACTTACTCGAGCAACAACATCAGCGTCAACAACGGGAATGCCACTAGCCTTGAAGAGGTTGGAGACTGTACTCTTCCCAGACGCTATGCCTCCCGTTAACCCGACTATTCTCATTCTCCTTTTCCCTCTTTTACTCCTCAGGAACACTTAATTTTCTCACTGTGTTTGTCTGAGAAACACCTAAACAAATGCTGCACAATCAAAACTAATAATAATCAACTAACAGAGCCACATATCTTCAACTTTTATTTAGCAATTCCATACATAAATTGATCTGTCACAGTCCAAGTTACAATTGGTTTCTACAGGATTTGCCTTCACAGTGAGAAAAATAACTAAGATCATTTCAAAAATGCCAAAATAATACACAAGTTAAGGATCCCACAACGTAAAAGGAAACAGCTTGAATCACACAAAGGACAAAGCAAAAATGAATCAGGCTATTAAAAATCAATGAACAAAGAAGCGAATTGGTAAAAGAAAATAGATGAAGAGAGATCGGCTCGAACAGGGAAAACAAAAGAGGGAGAATATGAGAGAGTAACCTCCTCAGCCACCGGAATACGAAGAAATCGACGACGGAGATGAACTGATAATTTGACTGATAAACATAAAAGTGACGACGAAAGAAGCAATTTTGTGTGACCAGTTTAATCCTTTCTATCTTCTATGGGCCTGAGACAAGCCCATCTTCTCTTACTTGAGTTGACTTAAAAAATTAGGTTCAATATATGTGTGTTTGAGATTTAAATTAAAATAATTGGGCTTCGTTGGACCCTTGTGTTTTTTTTTTCTCATGCATTAGAATACCTTGAATCAAATATAAATAAAAAAGAGTGAATTAGCACAGAGAAGTTATTAAGAGAAGAAATTAGGTAAAAGACGTTAGAAAAAATCTTTAGAGATAAACTGAAAAAAAAAAATTTGTACGGGTCTTAAGTTCCATTTAATAACGAAAAAACCAGAGGTGCATTTGGCCATACGCGTGGTGAAGGATCGTGTCTCTTACGAGAGCCGAAAGAACAACCTGCCATATAATAAATGATGTCAGATGAACTGATATCGCCGCGTCGACAAAAAGAACGAAGTGATCGTTAATAAATGCAACAGATCTTAACTTGAACTAACTCAAATTTGAATATAGACAACTAACATAGTTGCATAGACACTCAATAAATAGTTCTTTGAATTTTTCAAACAACTAACCTAGTTGCATGGACACCCAATGAATATTTTACACGATTTTGACATTTGTATACAGATAAACATATACATAGAGCGTTAGAAATAATTATGGTGTTAAATAGTGTGGTCTATGTGTATATATATATATATCATTATTAGATTATCTATATGTAAATACGTACATTTCAAGAGAACGTTCAATTCAAAGGATACTAGGTATACGATACGAGAAACTAATCCGGTGTGTGAATGGTATAAGGGTGTATGGTTCCCCAACTCAACACCCAAGTACTCATTCATCACTTGGATCGCAATTCGTAATCGTTTAGCTACGGGTGATAGACTGTTACATTGGAATACTGCAGCAAATGGAGGTTGTAATTTGTGTGATGGGAACATAGAAACAAGAGAACACCTCTTTTTCTCATGTCCGTATTCGTCTCACGTCTGGTCAGCCCTCACACGAGACATGCTTGGGCAACAATTCACAACACGTTGGGAAACACTGATTCCTTTACTCACGGCTCCACCTACCTCAAAACTGCATTTGTTTGTTTTGAGATATATGTTTCAGATATCTATCCACAGTCTATGGCGCGAACGGAATGGAAGACGACACGGCGAGTCACCAACCCCGGCATCCATGCTAGCAAAACTAATCGACAAGAACGTTCGTAACCGGCTGAGCACCTTAATTATGACGGGCTCACCCACTTATGAAGGCGGGCTGCGATATTGGTTCCAAACTCATATTCGCTAGTGGTCTCTACATTATAATCTCTCTCGAAAACTCAAATTTTTCAGTTAGATGTTGCATTTATTGTAAAACCGTCTTTTTTTGGTGAATAAATTTTACATTCATACAAAAAAAAAAAAAAAAAAAAAAATACGTACATGGAGCGTTATTAACATTTGTATACATGAAAACATGTATATAGACCGTTATTAACATTTGTATACATGTAACCACAAATATTTATTAGATATTTAATCTAATCGACGGAGGAGACAACATGCAAGATATATACATAGATTTACAAAATGTTTTTTGGACATCCACACCAAACATCAATTCATTTGTCTCACGTAATAGACCAGTTCAAAGTCTAAATATAACACGCTTCAGTTTCTCGAGAATGCCAAAATTCATTGTCTTTGTCTCACACAATGGGCCGATGTTTGTTCCACAATCACTACAAAAAATGCGGCACTTTACGTCAGTTATTAATGATTTTAACGTCAGTTATTAATTGACTTTAACAAGTTGACGTTGGTTTAATAACCGTCGTAACATCGTTTGACGTTAATTATATTAGCTTCACTTTTAAAAGTGACGTTTTCTTTTACGTCGAAAACATGCGTCGGTTTTACTAAATCTAACAACGGTTTAATAACCGACTCAAAAGTCAAATCTCATTTGTTTATGTCACTTATAAAACCGACGTAACTATTGTTCATTTATAATTATTTTTTCTTCAATTAATATAATATGTATATATATATATACACATATATAATTAGTAAATTTCAAAAGATAACACATAATAATTCTTTGACCAAGAAAAGATACACATAAAATTCAATTAATAAAATATATTCAATTTTACACGGAATATAAATGTCACCATAACTATGTCCCAGAATATAAGTAGAATAGAAATTGTCTGGTATACATATAGAAATGTCACTGCACACCAATTCTTGAAAGAGAAATAAGCATATCTGACCTGAAATAAAAACAAAGTAGCCATAATCAGTAACCAGGAAAAAAATAACAGCAGAGTCTCAGTTTTTCATGATCTCCATTAGTATCATTTCAATGACTATGTTTTCTTTTTGACAGCAATCTCACGAAGTACAATTTATTAAAGCAAATTACTATGTCTTATCAAGACTGTGATAACACCAAACGTTTGGATTCTATGTCTAACTATGACATTAATTTCTCCTAAATCAATATGAAGTTCTGAACTATACAATGATAAACATACCTGTTTCAAATGAAATCCAAATCAAATGACTCTGGTTCAGTTCAAATTCCAGTCTTTGAAATGTTACTTTCCTGAAATTGTAGATAAATTGTAGATAAAGCTACTTTAAGTGTTATCCTGAAGATACATATAATTTTATTACCTGGTCACTGCTAACACTAGATGATTGATGAAGATTGGTGTTAAACTTTGTTCTGGACCTTGTGTCAGTTTACCAAAAAACTAAATAGCTCTCCCAATAACGTCTCTCACCCAATTATCCCAATAAAAAATCCGTAAATTTATAAAATAGAGAAGAAAAAATGTCATTTAAAATTTTTAAGAGTTAACTGATTTTTTGTCTTTTATGTGCAATCTCACTTTTCA